TAAGTAAAAAAGTATTGACCGTTATTAGCCCTAAACCTAATAGCTAACGAGTAATTTCACTTTATTACTTGAAAATTTTCTTCACGTAATATCAAGTTGTAGATTCAATCTTGTAGGTCAATAAAAAAAATTAACGCACTACATAGTGTACCCTTTTAAACCATGTAACTTTTGTATGTAACATTCTTTCGTGCAACGCATATTTTGGAAGTTATAACGGTGCACACGTTGCGTGGACCACCCTGTATATCTACGTTACATTCGCTCGAATTTTATTTATCTAAAGATTGTATCGAGTGCTCTCCACCTTGAAAAACAATATTTACTTTGACAATTTTATACGTATAAGGAAAAGGATTGCCCTAGACCCCCGATACTACGTCGTATCAGATAATGTAGTTTCATCAGTGTAGTATCCCTTATCAGTGATAAGCAAAATTGATATTATCACCGACAGATAATTGTAAACGGTGCTTAAACGTAAATTTATCGCCCCACCAAAGAAAAGAAGCATAAAACAGAACCAAGAGCTGGAAGCTTTTCACTTGTAGAGAAGAAGGCGGAGCTGCTAAGCCGAAACCGAATCACGTTGCAATCCAATATCTCGGAACGACTTTCGTGGAATCTAATTCACGCGGAACAACAATCCAATCGCGAAAGTTGCTCGTCGAGGACAGAGGCAGAGAGGAAAGATCGATTCGCCATTAAGAGAAGAAGAATCGAGTGAAAATAATTCGAAAGGTGAGGCGTTGAAAATTATTCCAAGGAGTGGGAAAAATTGAAGACATTGTTTCGGTCTACGAAAACCGGAAAAAAAGAAAAAAGTAGTCGTTAAACCACATAAAGACAGGGAGTTACGTAGTTATATTTACACCAGGAATACGATGCCCCAAGGAGTTTTATTTTATATTTTAACTTGAACATACTTTACTCGTTAGTTTTTTTTTAAATTAAAACTCAAGGAGTTGTACATATTTACACGGGGAATACAATGTCTCAGGGAGTTTTATTTGATATTTTCACTTGAACATATTCTACTTGTGAACTCGTTTTGAAATTAAAATAACAATTTGTACGATCTCAACGTTAAGTAGGTTAGCCAACAGAAATGCATTATTTTAATTTTTTTCACATCATTTTAAATAGACCATTATTGTCGACGGAATATTGTTTTTAACATTAGAGAATTAATGTTAATATTCCAGGCTTAACATGGCGGGGAACAATGAGCAAATGGAGAACATCGAAGTGGATGGTAATGAACACGTACAGGAATGTAAGAGCCGATCAAAGAGAAACATTATCAACGGTGGACCACCGCGAGACGAATGTGTCAAAGATGGTGTCCGTTATAGACGTGACCGCAATGGCAAATGGAGGGAAGTTATCCCGTCATTTTCAGAATAAACAGAATCTACTATTGGGTAGGACCATATTTTCAGCTAGTATCTAAAATTCTTCAAATAAATTGAAATTTTATTCCTTACATCTTTTGCACATTTTTTCAAATGCACCACAATTTTTTAATTGTTTCTGAGCAATTATTTATTTATTTATACGTCCGTTATATTTTCTCCGAAGAGAAAATAAGAAAAACGTAAATTAATCAAATATTGTCTTGGAAAATGAGTTATATCAGATTGAAGGAAATTAATTTTCGAAAATTTTCGATCATCTGAATTCTTGAATTATTGAAACTGTTGAACCGTGTTAACGTTTTTCTTTTTCTTCTTTATAGTTTGACAATATTGTTAACAATATTTGTACCCATTTTGTGGCTTTCGAATTGTTTCTGAATGTAGTTTGTAACCTAAATACCATAAAACTTGATCTAGTTTTCCTGAATTAGGTTGACAATTAGCCCCTTAACCTTAATTATATACCAATTAGCCAATACGACACGCGAACCCAAACTTTTTAATGATTCTATATACCGTAGTTCCTTAATCACCAAATAATACGTCTATTAAGATACATTTACAATGAAGTTTTAACGAAAACAGTATAACTTACGTTAAACCACATATTTTCATCTATAATAAATAATATAATTGTTTACCAATTTTAAACGACAAATTACCCAAACGAGCTGCTTCGCATTAATACATGTAACAGCAATGAATTTCTGTAATTAAGTAAATAAATAAATTTCGATAACAGATTTCTAATAGTACCAAATATTTACTTTTCCGTTCTCTGTCTGTTTGTACATTATTATCGATACTTGTGTACTCTCCGTCTGTCATTTTTTATACAAAGAGGTCGACGCGCATGGAAGTGAATAAAATGTAATATATAAAGGAGAATGTTAAGAAAAGGTCAATTTTGGCATACGGCCGGAACGAAAAATTTTTTTACAGCATGATTCTACGCATTCTAAGGAACGAAAAATGTAATTGTCATTTATCCCGGAAATGATGGGAAAGTTATGAGAAATGCGGTTCAAGGTAAGAGTACGATCATACTTATAACTTAATTATTCCGTCTCGTTTCTTTCGGACGATTCATAAATTAACCACTTAGAAACTCATATTGAGTGTTATTTACAAAGATTGTTGTACATTAGTGTTTAATAAAAACCAAAAATAATGAATGAAAAATTAATCGAAACAAAGAATTCTTTGATGACACAATGCTTATATTCGAAGCAATCAGAAACCAATAATTATTTATTCTCGAAGTGATAAAAGTTATAATAACCTATCGTAAATATAATAAAATAATCGTCATGACAGGGTTACAATAGAAAAGTAAGACTCTAACAGTGTATCCACTATGAAAGCCAGAGGAAAAAGTATGACCTTACATATCAGCCTAAACATATGCATACGTACTATATGTATACAGTGTTCTGTCGAACTACGCGTAGGTTTAGAGACGTCGACTGTCCGCGTAGTTGGGAACCATATCCCGGTTTTACGGAAAACTGAAATCTGATCATCTGCACTGCGTGTCAATTGTCGTATATTGTCGTTAGAATAATAACAAACGAAGTAGGCAGTGTGTAAAGACTTAGTTGTTTACTAAGAGACAGTGTTTTTCCAGAAAAGGATAGAATATGTATGTATATGTCTCGGGGAGACAACAGTAAAAAAACTAATTTGTTGTTGTTTCATAGCTATAACACATCTTATTACAAGAAAAATAAACTTAGGATACGATAAAACGAAATTGTTGCAGTAACTAATCTAATTAGCTATACGTAGGCTCTCCTCTATTTTCAATTAACTCAATCATTCGATTGTGTACGTATATATACGTACATATTATTCACGCATACACATACCGTGAAACTGTAGCTGTGTAGCTCACAGAGACACGCTTCTCGTTCGATTTTTCTCCCAAGCTGAGCTGTTCGTTGTGTACTTGAATTCGGTGCACTATCTTCTTGTATCCAGCGGCACTTAATTCACACGAACGAATATGCTAAGTACGTAAATTGATTGAAAATCCGCGTATAAGCGAAACCGCTTTATTCGAAAGAGCACTGAATTTTCTACAAACTATGATAGCACGGTACAAACGTCGTTCGTCGACGCACTCATTCGGTAGGCTGGTAAGCACTAACTGCGTACGTGACGATCTTCCCGATTTCTGCTCCCTGTTACACGAAGCAGTTCTGGGAAAAATCCTAGGCGTGTGAGTGACCCTCAAGTATGTAATTGGGCCTAGTCAACCTCACGTACCAAAACATTGCGCGAGGCTCGCGATGTTTTTT